AGCAGGAATTGCAGCACCCAGGTCCATTTCGGCAGGTGTGCGCTCCAGCGTTGCTCGTGGCCGTAAACGTGCGGGTCGCTGGGTTCGTCGGGGCCCTCATGCTCCCCCGTGACGCGCACGTAGTTGGCAAAGGTCGTACGCTGGCCGCCTCCCAGCAGAGACGTCGACTCGGTGGGTTGCTCGTCGCCGGAATCGACGTGCTCGTCTCCGTCGTGCTCCGAGGTGTGTTCCTCGCCCGAGGCTGTGCCCAGTCGACTGCCGCCATAACTGCTGGGACGGCGCGATGACGCCGGCACCGGCGCATACTGACTGGCGTACTCTGACTTCCGAGGCAGGGCGAACAGCTCCAGATAGGAAATCCAGGTGGCCAGGAACGTGCCACAGAAGGAGAAGAAAACCCAATACCCGCCAGCCAGACCCCACTGGTTCTCGTAGACCGTCGCAATCACCAACATCACCCAGGCGAGCACAAACATCCACGTCAAAGTATAGATGCGGTGGAAGGCCGAGGGGCGCGCAAAGTCGGCGACGCGCGACACGAACCAGGCCAGAAACGTCCAGGCCGACAGCATCATACCCCACACCGCATACTCGCTGCTGTGGATGATCAACGGATTGACTTTGGTCACCAGGTACGCCAACCCAACCGTGACGGCCGTCGGAATCACAAACAGAAAGGGGAACCGGAAGAACCCGCGCAGTCCCTGCAGCGACACGGCCTCCCCATTGTCGAGCGACGACTTGACCGTGGACCGGAACAGGTACATCTTGTTGGCCCGGCTCAGGGCAACACTCGTGACCAACAAGCCCAGGGGCGCGACAATGAGCATCGTCACCGACAGCGCAAACAAGGTATGCAGCTGGAACACCACGAAGGTCGCTCCGAAGAGGTCGAACCACACTCCGCGCGATCCTCTCTTCCCACCATCGCTACTATCATCACTGACCAGCCCCTCGGTCGTCTTCACCGCCGCCTCCAGCATGTGCCACAGGCTCTCCACAGTCGTGTGCCTCGAATCATCCTGGTCGGTATGATATCTGGCCCTAGGCTCCATAAACGCGACATCCAAGCCCCTCATGCCCAGATCTCCTTCGAACACGACATAGTCCGTCTGGGAACTGATGAGGCCGACCTCAAACCCATTGGCCGCCAACACGGACCCGAACGGGTGTTTCGCGCGCCTATAGTTCCTCGTCACTTCGGTGTCACTGCCTCGGAACAGGATCGCCCGACCACCGGCGCCGGCCCCCTCCAGATTCAGAAAGGTCTGCGTGAACTTGGACAGCGGGTGCTGGCTGAACACGCGCGCTCCGTTGAGGAAATCCTCCTCGCCGTTGTTGAAGAGCACCACCACGCCGCGACGCGGGGCATGGCCCGGGGTGGTGAAGTACTTGATCAACTGAAGACAGGTGACGACGCCGACCCCGTCATCCGTCGCGCCATAGCCGGTGGAGACGCTGTCATAGTGGGCGTTCACCAGCACACCTCCGCTTCCTCCCTCCGACCCCAGAACTAGGTCAACATCATCATCATCCTCTCCACGGATGTAGACTAGGAGGTTGGTGCCTTCAAAGTAGACCGCGGTGTTGGACGACTTGAGGGTATTGCCGACGAAGGAGAGGTTGGACTGGTTGTCGTCGAAGATGTAGACGGTGGGTCGAGTTTCGTCGTCGGCATTGTAGATCGTAGGAGGCTCATGGAAGCCCTGGTACCGGTTAGCCTTGTGGTCAGACTGCCCGGGTGTATCCGCGTTGTTGTCGTGGACAATCTCCTTCACTCGGCGGAGAAGCCAATCTCGGACCTCGTCGTTCCGGCGCGAATTATACGGATGGTACCCGTTGGTCAGGACCTGCAGATCGGCCCAAGCTTCGTGGAGATCGAGACCGTTGGGGGTGGAGGATGCACTGGGCGCCGAGGGGAGCACGTGGTGGACGACAAGGAGGGGGATCACAAAGGCGAGGTAGACGGCGGTCGTAATGAGAGTCACGGGCCACCGCGTGAAGGCCAGTGGATTGCCGCGCGGGGTAGCCATCTCTCTCTCTCTCCCCCTTCTCGCTCTTTTGCCTTTCTGCGCTATATTTGTACTAGCTGAGAGAAGTGTCCGTAGTCGCTCTCAGCTGCTGCAGAAGCCTTCTTTTGGCTGGGCTGAGCTGGAGCGGGGACTGGAACTGAGCTGGGCTGAGCTACAGTGAAGTGGAAGGGAGAGAATGCGGAGAAGGAACGAATCGGAAATGGAATGATGGTTGATCGGCCCATGCGAAACCCGTCATTATGTCACCGCCAGCCCACTCAGTCACTTTCAGTCACTTTCAGTCAACTTATCTACTATGTGTACTTCGTACTCCGTACAGTATGTGTATACAGTACAATAGTAGTATAAAGTTATGCTTGATATCTACTCCAATTGCCTATGTTTTTATCTCATGAACCTCAATTGCCTATCCACTCTCAGTGTAATTGCATTCCCGCAACAACTAGACTGCTGCTGCTGCTCTATAAGTTACTCAATTCTAATACGGTAACGGTAGGCAGACCAACCCCTCCCTCTGTCCTCTCGATGATCGATCACTGCTCATATCGATAATTCCTTAGGAAGAAACTGATTTCTGTTGTTCATCTCACCCTGCATTTCCCCCCAAAGCGATGTATAAGGCAGGCAGAGCGCAGAAGGCAGAGAAAGTTGAAGTCCCACCCCCCCCCCCCACCCACAAAGACGAACGCAACCGCCAGTCAGCCTCAGCCCGAAGAAAACACATCCCAACAACCAGCTCCCAGATAAACCGCTACCGACTATGCAAATTCATAACGGAAATCCCTGTGTGCACACAAACAGAAATTGGAACCCCTCGCTGCTTGGCCCAAAAAAATGGAAAATCGGAAAGAACAATAGAGAAATGAAAACGACACCATGTTTGTAAAACCATACACAAAAAAATGATAGATGTTAAGATCCGATGCACAAGACACGCTCAAAGATACGGAGAGGAAAAAGGGTATGGGTATCAACTGGGTGTATGTCCAATGTCAATGTAATCGTCGTCGTTAATCGCCGTGGCCGCCGTTGCGCGCATCAGGCCAGTCACCTGGCCCTCATCCTCGTCCAGTTCTTCGTCGTCATCATACATGGTCGCTTCCGTCATGTCCTGCGGCGGTGGAGGGGGAATCATATGGTTCAGTTGGTTACGCAAGTGGTTCACGCCATCGCCGCTGAATACACAGAACACGTCGCGCTGTTGGGGTGTGAACTCGGGAGGCGCCTCGCGGCAGAACTCGGTCAATTCTTTTCGCGCATAGAACTCCTGGACCCCCGTCAGACTGAGGTGTGTCAGACGAGGACAGCTGTTGACAAGTGCATGGATTCCCTGCGGCCAGTTAGCATTATCCCAGACAAAGACAAAAAAAAGCCATCGTTCGACCACATACTCTGAGGGTGAGGAAAGTGCAGTAACTGAGATGCACCCGCTCTAGACTACTGATTCCTGCGGAGTGGTGGGAAGCCTTGGGACCCGCCAAGGCTAGAATGCTGTTGTCCGTGATGTTGGCACACTTGACCAAGCCGATACGCCGTAGTTTGGGTAACGTAGCCAGCTGCTGCACACTTGCGTCCGTGAGACGGGTACAGCACGCCAGGTCGATATACCGGATACGGTTGCAGGACTTGACCAACTGCATCACGGCTGCATCGGAGATGTTGGAGCAGTGTCCCAAGTGGACGTAGTGCAGATTCTTGCCGAGCTTGCAAATGGCCCAGACTGCGCGATCCGTGATAAGCCGACACTTTGCGAGCACTAGGTTCCGTAAGCGCGGCGCCGATGCCACAATACGCTCAACGGCAGCGTCTCTGACATTCTCGCAGGATGTCAAGTCCAGAATGCGCAAGCTGTCCAAAGTAATATGCGGTGCCAGCTCCAGGAACGCCATATCGTCGAGTTCGGTGCAGTGGGCCAGTCGTAGCTCACGGAGATTATTCAGTGTCGCCATCAAGGCAGTTATCGACTTGTTGGTGACGAGCTTGCAGTCATGAAGGTCAATCTCCAGGATGGCCGGGCAGCTCTGAGCGAACGACAGAATGGATTTGTCCGTGACTTGCGCGACTCCGTTCAGTTTTAACTGTCACATATTAGCAACCATGGTGTAGAATCCGAGTAGCCATGGCCACCTACCCGTTTGATCTGTCGGCAATTACGAGACACGACAAGCAAGGAGTCGTCCGTCACCTTGGTGCAGTTCGTGATATTGAGCCCCTGGAGCCGGGGACAGTTTCTAGCCACCGTGTACAGAGTGTGGTCGGTGAGATGCCCCAAGTCCGACACATCTAACGCTTGTAGATGGCGATTCCCTTCCACCAGGTCTGACACGCCGGTGTCCGACAGTTTGGAGCAGTTGGTCAGCGTCAATCGCTCGATCCGGTTGCACTGAGCAAAGGTCATGACCGTTCCATCGCTGACGTCGCCCGAGAGAGCGGACAGGTTCAGTCTCTTGATTAAGTCCGAGTAAGGAAAGAAGCTGTTTGGCTTGCCCACAGTGGTGCTGATGCTCTTCATGTTGTCCCAGCTGTTGCACGACGGCCGGTGCCACAAGATCGCCACGCAGTTTGCCGCCCATCCTCTGCAGACCAGCATACAGCTCATCATATCGGCTGGCGAACTCAGTTTGGCGAAGATGGCGATTAAGATCTCCGGAGGCAACCGTCCGATAGGCGGCAGGGCCCGATCTGAGTCGTAATATGCATGAGAATCCCGGCCATTGACACCGCCCACGGAGGATTCTGAATCATTGGCCTGGGCTGTGAAGAAGTCGGTATCATCATCGGCGGTGCGATCGGGGGACGTCGAGGAGGAGGATTCGGAGGGAGCTTCGCTCGAGAACCGAGCGGGTTGCCTTGAGCGGGGCATCAGGACCAACGTCGGAAAGTGGTGGCAAGCGTGCTTGTTGGGAGAGGGAGGAGGAGGACTGGTCGCTGTCCTATTTCGGCCAGGATACAACGTGTTGTGCGTTGGGTAGAGAAACTATTCATATAAAATGTGGCTGTCACCTGTTGTAGAGGCGAAGCCGGAAGTGTGATCAGATATTCGAGACCGATCTGGAGATTTGAGGTTTCGCCCTAACAAAGCGGAAGGGTCAAGGGGGCCAGAAGAAGAGGCGAGTTGAGATCAGGTTGGTCGGGGTTGAGAGGGAGAACACGCGTCGAAAGAGCCTGCGATAGGAGATGCCGACGAAGGCAAAGCAAGGCAAGGCAAGGGAAAGGAGGGGAAAGGGAGAGGAGGAGAGAGAGGACGGTGTCGGGCGGCGGAGGAGGCGAGGGAGAAGGAGGAATCCCGGTCGGAGGACCGAAAGGGTGAGACCCGGGGGCGGGATTGAGAGCGTCCAGAAGATCTGTAAGTCCGATCAGGGGGAAATGTAAGTATCGTATAGTCAGATAGAGTCAAAAGGTGGTAGTTACAAGTAATCAACGTAGCGACAGTGGGCTGTCGGGGGGGGTGCGAAGAGGAGGAGGAATGATGATGATGATGTTTGGATGTTGATGATGAGGGGAGGGAGGGGGGGGGGGGGGGGGGTTGGTTGGGACGGAGAAGGACTGACGAAAGAAGAAGAAGGCGGTTGCAAAGGCGGGAGAGGAGAAAGAAAAGAAACTGGAAGAGGATGATTAAGGTAGACAGAGGTAAATATTCACCTACTTAAAGTTAGGTAGGGAGAGAACAAACAGCTTTGTACTGTACCTCATTCACTGATCTCGGCCTAATCAACAGTAACTTATATTTTTAATCCTTGAAAAAAATACTAAAAAAATATTTTTTACAACCCCGAATAACGCTTGATTGCGACTTAAGGTGAGAAAGGAGGGGAAAGTTGATTGATTAGTTTAGTTAATATTTAGTAACTTAACTGAACTGCCAGGGAAGCCCGCTCGCTGCCGAACGACATCATCCATGCTATTCTTGGGTGGTCGACCCATGCGCGGCGCCCACTTACTTATCCCTCAATTCACCCAAGCATCAAAGCATCAAAGGTATCATGATTATTATTAGCATTCCTGGACAAACACTACCAGATTCGCTAAATAAGCATGATTGCCTACCAGGGGAATTGCTAGAATTATTGGGGCTGAGCTCTGATTATCTTCAGTTTCATCCAATGCTTTCCCCCTTCCCCCTCCCCCTCATGCTCGTTGCCTTCACCATCCCCGGTGGTTCGCATCTAAGACAAATAGGATCCACCTCGGATTGCTCCCTCCTTTGGTTCATGTTTAGAATGGGTTTGTGAAGCTCATCCGCCATTACCCCTTTTCACCACCCGACTATGTGATTTGTTGAAGAGGCAAGAATCGAAGAGAATACAAGTGTACAGCCTTATCGTCTCCTGCGACACTCTATCTAATCTATATAAAGTCACAACCCGTTCAACCAGAACAAGACCATAGAGTGATACAATCTCTCCCGAGAACCAACCCACCATCTCTTTCACGTCTGAGACGCCCCCTTAGCCCAGTCGCGCAGTACATTTTTTCTGATTTTCCCCGTACTGGTTTTGGGCAGCTCCGCCACCACCTCCACCTCGCGAGGGACCATGAATTTACTGATGCCGCTCGCATTCCGCGCCCACTCAATGACCGCCCTGCCATCGAGTTCCCTACCTTCCTTGACCGTAATGAAGGCCTTGGGACGTTCGCCCCAGTGCGCATCTGGAACCGACACGACCCCGGCCTCCAGAATGTCGGGGTGGGTCACCAGCTGCGCCTCTAAGGCAACTGAGGAGATATTCTCACCCCCTAAAGCCGTACGTCAGCACAACATTCCGGAGAGGGAACAGGGGTGCAACAATGAAAACCAAACCGAAGCCCAGGGATCTAACTTACCGCTGATGATGATGTCCTTAGCTCGATCCAGAATCTGGATGGCCCCATCGGGATGCCAGACAGCCAGGTCGCCGGAGTGGAGCACACCACCAAGGAACAGCTTCCGTGTCGCCTCCGGGTCCTTGTAGTAGCCCCGGGAACATATGTTCCCGGCAAACACGATCTCCCCGATCTCCTTGCCGTCCCGGCGGACGTCTACAACCGTGCCCTCGGGAACATCCGTCTTGATCACCCTGGCCGGCAGACTGGTCAGGAATCCATGGCCCTGTCTCGCCATCTTCTCGTACCGCTCGGTCGGGGCAAGGTTGTCCCACGCTGGCATATGGTACCCCTTGGTGATGGGGCCGTACGTCTCCGTCATCCCGTAGGTATGCACAGGATGCAGGTTAAAACCGGTCATCTGCTCGAACAGATGGCCCGTCGGAGGACTAGCCGCCACCGTCACGCGCACCGACTGCGGCAGACGTTCAGCTTGCGGCGAGTTGCAAAGCAAAGTATTCACCGTCGGCGCCGCATTAAAATGCGTGATGCGTTCTTGCTTCAGCAACCTCCAGATCTGCGGATAATCGATCTTACGCAGACAGTAATGCGTACCCCGGACAGCCGTCACGGCCCACGGAAAGGTCCACCCTGCGCCACAGCATCAGTCCCATCAGGTCCTTGGCCATTTTTGACCAGAAGAAAACACTCACCAACCGCATGAAACATCGGCAAAGTCCACAGATACCTGCACCGACCCTCCTGCACATTCAGCCCAGATTCGACCAGATTCGCCAACGACGCCAGGTAGCACCCCCGATGGGTGAGCTCCACCCCCTTCGGCTTGGCCGTAGTTCCACTCGTATAAGCCAACGCGAGGACATCCTCCTCGGCAGCCGCCTGAGCTTCCAACCCATCCCACCCTAGAGCCCCAGTCTCGGCATCAAACCTCAACCCCTCCAAGACCGCATCATCAAACGGCCCAGACAACTGCCCTCCCGTCTCATCGGTATCGGTATCCACAATCACCGGCACATCAGGTTTCGTCGCCCGATAGCGCTGTAAGAGGGGCAGAAACTCCTGGTCCACAATAATCACTTCCACCTCTGAATGTGTAAAGATATAGGCGATATCTTCTTCCTTGAGACGATAATTCACCGCTATAGGATAAAGTTCAAGTCAGCACGAACCTCTTCCAAGCAGTATACAGCAAATTCCCCCCAGGAAAAGACAGCCCCTCCACCCACTACCCTAAGCCAAACGAACTACACATATAGCAGAAGAACAAAGAAAAAAAAAACATACCAACCTGCACCGCCCCAGCAGCGGCAATGCCAAAGATAGCCTCCAAGAAAGCAGGGGTATTGGGACAGAGAATCCCCACGCGCTTGAACGCATGGCTCTTCAGGAAATAGGCCAGGCCGCGAGCGCGGTCGGCGAATTCGATATAGCTTCGTCGGAGGATTTGATTATTGGTGGTGATGTGGTGGATTGCTTCTGCCTATTTCAAAGTGTGATAAATATGATGAGTGCTAAGTCAAGGGCATTGATTGGAGGGGAGGGTTCAAGTCGGCTAGACAATTGAGGGGCTAAAGTCTCGAGACAAAAAACAGTACTTACATGTGGTTCGATGGCAGCAGCTCGAGGAAGAAAGTATGTTGGAGATAGGGTGTGGAAGCTGACTGGCCGATTCGTAGAGGTTGAGGTACTGCTGGTGGTGGTGTTGGTGGTGGGAAGCAAATGGGCGAGCAGGCCCGATAACCGGCCCTTTGCGGAGGACATGGCTTGTGATGTTCTTTGATGTGACTGGCGAGGAACGAATCCGTTTATGCTTCCAATGTCCTCCCTGGAGAGAATCCAATTGGACACGCACTGGTCAGGATGCTGAGCGAGGGCGTGTATGATTCAGAATGAGGAAACGAGACAACGAGGAAGAGAAGGAGGGGGGGAGAAGAGGGAAATTCCGAGGTAGCTCCAGAAGAGGAGAAGCGAAGTAGAAGAGGAGTAAATGCGGGGATGATCATCGTTCGGGGCGTCGGGGCCGCGGCGGAGCCCAAAAAGCGGATCCTTCCCTTTCAACTTGGAACTCTCAAACAACCCCGTTCTACGGAGTACCTACTCTCACATTGTTCAATGCTTGATTCGTCCACAAACGAAGAAAGAACCTACCAATGAAGCTGGTATCTTCAATGAGTTTCGAAATTGCTGACGACAACAACCGAATCAATAAAGTTCAGCAAGTGACACCGACCAATACCCAGGGATACACACAGTACACATTTCCCCTCACTGATGATTGACCACTGGAAAACTCTTGTTCCTTAGCGGCCTCCACCTTGGGCCCAATCCATAATCAACTCAATACATCATGGGTTCTACTCATACAACCAAGCAATCAACAAACTCAATTGAGATCCATGCCCGTTCGTCGGACTGAGTACGTATCGACGTAGACATAACATACTCCCATAAGTCGGCGAGTTACAGGTCTGCCATGAAGTCACACCACAGTACTGTCCAGTACAAATACTTCATCAGACATCTATTCTACATGGAACTACCATCCAACAAGAAACATATCATCAAACAAGATCCCGCTCCGAGCCAAGGAAGTACAGTGGGCTACTAAGCACCAGCAGGAAAAAGAGGAACAGTCCAGAACTGTCTCCGCACCGCAGGGGACGCTCTACTCGCTGGTGGTCAGTGCTTACCGACAGACAGGATCCAGAACCGGATCAAGGATTCACAGACAGATCGGATGGAGCATCATCAACTGTTTCCCACCATCGATCATCTTCACTATGAAAATGGATGGTAGATGACGGTTCATGAGTCAACCATGCAGCGACAATCACGCCAAGCGGCAAGTGCCTTGCTCCGATTGCATGAAGGCGATCCCGGCACATGCAATACTCTTTCTCCCATCACATCATTAAATTACCCTGGGATGGCGGTATTGACGGCCTTGGCCTCTTTGACTACGACGACGGTGATGAGCGTTATGTAAATCTGTACACCAGTGTGGACTCCACTAGGCGTCATGGCAAGGTGTTGTCTTGTCGCATGCGGCTTCGTCACGCAAGGGGGCTGAGAGTGGTAATGACAATAGGATTAGAATCCATCCGGTCCTTGCGGCATTTATACGAGGTCATCGAGAAACTTGGACCCGCGGGTCGTAGCATAGCATAATGGGAACTTTGGACACTTATGGCGGATATACCAAGATAAAGCTGAATGTAATGTCTCTTTTCTTTTTGAAAGGGGGAGGTCGTCACAACAAGTCATCTGAACAGTTTGAAAAAAAGAAAAAATTTCTTGGAATTAAACCGCCACGGCGCGAGTCAACGGTCAGCTATTTGGAAACAACCTTGTTTTTTCTTCATCCCAGAACGGACTCCCGTAAAAATTCTTTTTTGTTTATTAAGAGTTCGAATCTCGCCAGCCTCCCATGTGCGTCACAACGTAAGTATTGTGGGGGGTTTCATGAAAAGGTTAGGGACAGAGGGGAGAAAAAACGGGTCGATCGGTTCGCCGTCCATCTGTCGCTGAAACATAACCGTAACCGTTCGCGATCCCATCCCATCCCATCACAGACACAGGCAACCAGCCGCGCAACCAGGTATCTAGTATCCGTACTGAGCAAGCTCGGTCTTGGTCTGCTCGCTGACAGCCGCCGACTTCTGGGCGTGGACGAGTTGACGGCGGGCAGCCTTCTTGCGCTCGTAGTAGGCGCTGCTCTTGACCTTTCTCCGCTCCTCGAGTCTGTAGAGGGATGTTTAGCCATGATCCGAATACAACGAAGGGGGCCGCTCCAACGCGGCAACAGAATCAACATACCTGGCAACGACGTCCTGGTACTTCCAGCCGACCTCGTGGCTCAGACGGCCGACGGTGCAGTACTTGCGACCGGGGCGGAGGCGGAGGACACGGAGGGCCTGAGGAACGACGACGCGCTTCTTCTTGTCGTAGGGGGGAGGAACACCCTCGAAGACCTTGAGGCGCTCCAGAGCGGCAGCACCACGGGCAGTCTTGTGGGGGATCATACCGCGGACGGCCTTGTAGAAGATGCGGGAGGGAGCGCGGAAGTGGAAGGGACCTGTGGGAATCAAACTCAGCACCAGTCGAGAGAATCGGGGTTGTCGGAGGGTTTCAGGGTGGACTCACCACCGCGGGTGGGGTTGAAACGAGTCATCTTGCGAAGGTAGGCGTGGTACTTGACTATATCGCACAATCCATGTCAGTCGATGTCGATTCCTCAGTATAAAAAGCGCATCTCTTGTGTTCCTCCACAACTGTCGCCTCGATATTTCGATCATCATCCCGACTCTTCGTTCCTCAATGTCGCAACTTATTTCACATCCAGCCCCGCACCTCACGTAGCAGACACCACACACCAAGGAGATAACCCAGACAACAGCAGAGATGGCAAACACAAGAGATCGCATTCGAATTCGGATCGGATAGATGGTAAACGTACGCTTCGCGCGGAAGAACTCGCCGGAGATGTTAAGAGCCTCACATCTCACGACGACGATCTTCTGACCGTTGAGCAGCTGCTTGGCGACAGTGCTGGCAAGACGACCAAGAAGGTGTCCCTTGCCGTCAATGACGACCTGCAAAAGAATTCCAACACAAGTCAGCGATTTTTCCCGGAAGAATCCCTGAGTGAAATATATAGAAGTCCCCCGCCCATTCCCTCCGCTTCTTCCGGGAGACGGTCTCAAGTTCCCCTTGTTCCCTTTTCCACCTCAAACCCCCAAATTTCCCCCAATCATCCCTCCTCTTGCACTCGTCTCCGGTATTGTTGCAGATGTATGTTTTCAAGATAGGATGTGCATGTGTAGGTGTGGAAGGGGCGGTGGTACGCACGACTGGATCGATGGAGGACATCCTGCTGTGTCGAAAGGAAAATATCCAGCGATAGGAAGAGCGCTGCTCTAGGATACTCCCTTGGGATGTATAAGTTGTCGGCGGTTGTTGTCGTTGTGGGCAGGTTCAACGCACACACAACGGATGGTCGGATGGAGGTTCGCTGGGGTTTGGTCGCTAAGCGAGCGGCGCTACGGGCTTTCTTTGTGCGGGAAGCTCCCCCGTCGAGGGCCACAGCCCTAACTCCTTCTTTCCCGTGGCGTGGCTTGGGTATCACGTGATACCCTACCCTCATCAGGAGGGAATCCAGCCCCCAACCCTTGCCCTTATCTCTTGTTCAGAGATGGGAATGTTACCCTTTCGCAGATATTGGGTGCTTTGTGTAGATGCATGGTATGAAGTAGTTACTGCATAATAGTCACCGTCACTCCCTGCCATTCTGTTCCTGTCCTTGCAACGGCCAGGCTATACCTCATTGCATTAGTTCTGGGAGGGAGGAACTTAGACAAGTGCCCACCCCGCACATGACTACAGGATAGTGCGTAGACCCAGTGTTTCCCCCAGATACGCTGGTAATCAATCTACACTGTCCACTGCCTATCGGTCCCTTTGCTACGGTCGCATTCACCATTTAAGTCCCTAAAAGTATCAGAAAGGATTAAGTTTCTCTGTCATTAGTTTACTATCACCCTAAAACCCTTCACTTGCTTCACCTGACCGGTGCAATCATCAGGCAGTCAGCCAATGGTTCTAGCCACCCGCCTACCGATTACGGTCTATGTATGGGCAAGTCCCTTCAATCAAACATGGCGCAACAATGACAATTCATTAGAAAACCCAGCCCAAGCGAGAGTTGCTGGTCATTATAGCAGCTAGAAGTGAATATTGTATACATTAAGATTAATATGTGCTCTCAAACGGCAAGCCAAGCCATGAGTCTCGCCAAAGATACAGTCCGGCATCGGACGGGGACCTAGAGTCCGTCGCGCGCGCCAAAGCAATGGCATCAAATAGAAGGGACAGTTCGCACGCGATGGCTGTGTCTAGGCGTGTATCCATGTCAAAAAAGGAGGAGGGGGTCGTACAGCATTATACAAAAGAAGCAAAGACGTGCTATCTTCCATCACCTCATACAGATCAAGAATTTGTGCCGGCTGCTTTCTAATAAAAAGGCAGCTTAGCGTCTCGCGTGCCCCTCGCAATGACTTCCTCGAGAGTCCAGCGCGGGGGCTCAATGGCCTTGTGGCCTCCATTGGGCTTCTCTTCAAAAGAAGGGAGGGGCTCTTTCAAGCCCCCTGCGACCCCGGAAGAAAACTTGAGCTCGAGAGCATCCCCGATCTCGTCGCACACCTGCAGGATGCGGTCGAGGTCATCCTTGGTGTGCGCAGCCGACACGCACAAGCGGGCACGGGAGAGCTCAAGAGGCGTAGCAGGGTAGGTCACAACGACGACGGAGATCTTCCGACGCAGCATTTCCCGGGAGAACGCAGGCATCTTGGCGGGGTTGTACAGCATCAAAGGGACAATGGGCGAATCATCGTGTCCATAAACGATGAACCCAAGTCGCTTCAGTCCAAGTCGTAGATAACGTGAATTGAACGCTAGACGCTGCATGCGCTCTCTGCCTTCACCCGGATGAAGGGGGTCTTCATCAGCAATAAGGCGCAGCGAGGAATAGATCTGCGCTAGAACAGGCAGGGACGGAGCTTCGCCGAAAATTTGACCAGCATTGATGCAGCGCACTTTGTCGATGATCGCCTTATCGGCGGCGATATAACCCCCATTGGCTCCAAAGGACTTGGTAAAAGTGCCCATAAGGATCTCGACCTCTGCAGGGTCGACCCTGAAGTAGTCACAGACACCGCGTCCATGGCGCCCAACCGCGCCAATTGAGTGAGCCTCGTCAACGAACAAGTGGAACTTGTACTTCTTCTTCAGCTCAAGGATCCTAGGAAGATTGCACATGGTGCCCTCCATTGAGAACAGGCCCTCGACGGTGACAAGGATCTTCTTCCAAGGCCGGTGAGTGCGCGGCTGACCTTGCGAGATCGCCTCCCTCAAGCGCTTCTCAAGGTCCGCCATGTTGTTATGCGCAAAGACCTGGATAGCTGCCCCCGAGAGACGGGCGCCGAACCGGATGGATGCATGGTTGAGCTCATCGGACAGAATCAGACAACCCTTTTCCATGATGGCCGGGAAGATCGTAGCATTGGTCACGAATCCCATCGAGAACACCATTGCGGACTCCTTGCCCACGAACCGGGCGACCTGATCCTCGACCTCAACATGCAACTTGGTGATCCCTGCGTCAGGGGTGCCCGCGAGAGAGATACCTTCCCGCCGGAGAGTCTCCTCCGCGAAATCGGTGCAAGGTCCCTCTGATTGAGCAAATCCGAGGTAGTTGTAGGAGCTGAGATTCAGTGTGTCGGTTGTCGTGCCCGTGAAGCTGAAATGCAGGTTGTCTTCGGTGGTCCGGTCGAGGAGGGTAACATGTCTGCCGGGGACGCCGGTGATCGGCCGCTCGAAGCAGTCGTTGATCCGCTGCTTCAATCGACGCGTGTAGAAGCTCTCGAAGTCGCTGTACAGAGAGGCGTACCCATTCTGGGGTTTCAGATGCCGATAGGAATGAGACGAAAACCACTGAGCCCAGAAATCGTGGAAATGGCCGAGGAAGATGAGAACGAGAAAGCTGACGTAGGTTGTCAAGACAAAAAAGTACGGAGGTTCATCAATGACAGGGTCGGGGATCTCTCCCCCAGGGTGCTCGCTGGTGTAAAGATGCGACGGATCGCCGAGGGGCCCGAACTCGGCGTGCTGTTTAGCTAGCTTGCGGATCGCCTCAGGATCTGGCACTTTGGTTTGTGCTGCTCCTCTCATTGAGTCAGGAGAGCTGCCGCTGACAGCACGGAGAGAGGCGATGGCCGTAGAGTGAGCAATGGGGCTATCGGTTGGCGCTCCGGAACCACCGTTGCTGGCTCCCAGGTCTTTATCAGAGCGCGTCTTACTGCGCTTCCACCGAGGCATGTTGCAAGTGTGACTTGAGGAAAGCTATGCACCTCCTCAAGTCTCTAGAGCGGAGATAATCCGGTGTCCCTCAAGCTTCTAATGACGAATAGTGAGGGAAAAGATCGGAAGAGGAATGAATGATGGTGGAGGTGGTATCGTGAGGTTGCTGAAAGTGCATCATCATGTAATCGGGGGGGGGGGGGGGGGGTGTTGCCTGGCCCCACTTCCGGCTGCTTCGGGAGATGAATTGACGATTGTTGATTGGGCTCGGTGCAAACCTGGCTTTAAGCGGAGACACGAGATACAGATTCAGTGCCTCAGGTGTCCACCCTCCGTACTAGTACCCGCTAACTAAGCCAAACCGCTTACATGTCGTCACTCGTTTAGATAACTCTCTACTTCAATATACTCAGGCTACAGACTAGGATGCTGGACGATACTCTCCTCGTAACACAAGAATGCTATGCGATTCCCGTCGGATTCTGCCTTTTCTGTTCCTCTGGATTCCTCAATTGGAAATAGAAGAACCCGCCAGCTGTAGGTGAGCAGGCAACATGAACCGCTGGATACCAAGCCTTGTTGTTACACAGCAAGGTTGCATGTACTACCTGAGCCATGTCCTGGCTAAGCCCTGCCGATAATAGAACCAGATCCGCTAATCCTACGAATGTTTCAGAGAATCTCATAACATCCCATAACAAAGATGCGCCGAAAGACACGTTTCGTCTGTGTCTCTGACACACATGCTTACACTCCCTCTGAGGCTGGGTTCAAGCTACCAGCTGGAGACGTTTTGATCCATGCGGGTGATCTCACCAACCATGGTAGCATGGCTGAGCTTCGTAAGACTATGGAATGGATTTCTGCGGCTGATTTCGAGGTCAAAATTGTCATCTGTGGTCAGTACTTACAATACCTAGCCGAACTTGCACGAGAGCCGCCTGTGGCCTGTCCCGGACCAGAGACCGCAGCTCGTAGGGATGTCGGGGAAGAGTGTCGATACGCATGAGTGTGCTGAAGTATGAAAGCGCTCCAGGAAATCATGACATTACGCTAGATGCCGATTTCTATGCCCGCCACGGTTCGAAATTTCATGGTCAGCATCTCGAAGACCCTCGGAAATGCATAGAACTTGTCACCGAAGCATCCTTCCCTTCCATCGTATTTCTCAGGCACGAGTCAGCACTAGTCCGGCTGAGGCGGCCCAACGGCCCAAACACCGTCTTCAAAGTCTTTGGCTCTCCATATTCCCAATCGCCAGGGACCTGGGCTTTTGGATACGACTCCTCGGAAGCTGCTGAGCTTTGGGGCAGAATTCCATTGGACATTGACGTTGTGGTAACGCACACCCCTCCTCACTCACACTGCGACCGTCATGGAACGGCGGCTGAATCAGTCGGCTGCAAAGCCCTTCGCGAGGCCTTAAGCAACGTTCGACCGATGCTGGCCGTATGTGGCCATGTGCACGAGTCGCGCGGCTATGAGAGGGTGAAGTGGTCCTCTTCATCCATACCGTCACTGCCTGTCTCAAACACTCACGATCCGCCAAGTCAAATCACTCAAGGCTTTCTCCCTCCTCGGGGAAGTAGAAAGCAAAGCCTCGTGGACCTGACAGGAAAAAAGTCATCGAAGCTAGACAATGATGGTTTCTTCGCTGAGCAAGTGGCAACGTCACTCGGAGCACTGTTCCAATCGACGCAGGATGTTATACTAGCCCCATTGCCTGACCCGTCGCTAGGCTGGACTCAGAATACTGAAGCCGACCGATCAGATTCGAAATCTGCCCTTTCATGCCTGAAGAGAGGAGAACATGACGATGAGAATGGGCTTCACTCGCACAGACGCGAGACTTGCATCATCAATGCGGCAATCATGGCAGCGAGCTGGCCTTATCGAGGAGGTAAAAAGTTCAATACACCCATTGTGGTTGATCTAGAACTCCCGACATGGAAGGAATGATGAGCAGCGACTTGAAGCGCACGGGGCTAGAGATGACGCCTAGCCATCCTAGAGCACACAAGCATTACCTCAGCATAGTAACCTAACTACTGCATTTTTCTCTCGAAGGTCCTGATACCATCTAGCTTCCAGCAAACAGCTTGAGCTTTGACCTCCAGTTTGACGTATCCCTGGCTGTTTTAGGTTGTATGCGTCAGTAGTTGCCTTGGAACAAAGAAACTTTTCAGCCTGGGCAGTTGAGTCTGCTCCTTTACCCTTTAGGTAGACGCCTCAACGTGATTGGGGGCCTGTGATAATCACTAAGAAAATATTGTGATTTACATCATGAGCTAGTGGCAGCAAGGCGGGGTTTGAGAAGAGTGATGCTTCATGGCTCCCTTGCTCGATGTGCTGGGTCGAATCGTCATTTGACGAACTCAAGCCGGAAATAAAGTCACCTAGGCACTGAAAGTAGGGAGGGGAGGGAGTACAATAAACCCCATGAGCGACAATCCGTCATGCCTGCTATTGTTAGTACTGTATCATTCAGGAGACTCATGGATAATGCATTTGTTTGATCGCAAGACGCAGTCAGGTTTGAAAGATCACATGAAATGCTTCCTTGCCTGGGTGTCATCTAAATGCGTGTTTGTCCTATAGCAAAACACGATAAGGCGGGGGTCAGCTGGAATCCTGATGGCCTTTGGGTGAACCGATAGTAAAGTGTCGTGTCGTAGTGCCTCGATCAGCGGTTACCAGTCGAGGATAGTAGTAGGTGACGGAGACCCATCTGGAACCGCCTATTGAGGGGGTTGCAGGCGCTTGACCCTGTCCTATGGACAGGGACAGAAGACTGAAAACTGGAAGTGTGCTTAGTACTCCGTAGTGGGGGGGGGGGGAACGCGGCTTTGGGGACAAAGGGGGCTTGTCTCCCGAGGTTGAAGAAACCACCATTGTAGTTATCGACTTAATAGTGGATAGTGACTAAGAAGAGCAAGTCAGCGACTGAGCTGGAAATAGATCATCAAACCATACAGAGATATACGCGCACCTCCCGCATAATTAAATGATTTTCAAGGTTAGGACATTTGGCAGGAAGAGTCAATCGAGTGGTTTCCAAAGTTGTGGGGCAAACCGATGGAGACAGGGAGCATATGATGGAAAGGATGAGGGGTCCGTTGCTTGATCTGCAGCATCCACTGTTTCTGCAAGTAGCAGTCAATTCAACGCAGTTCAGAACTTGTGCTGTATTATACACTCTTTTGAGCTTTCTTTCAACGAGCTTCCTCGATGGTCTAACGGTCATGATTTCCGCTTGTCAATCCCAGTCGGGAACAAGCGCGGGAGACCTGGGTTCGACTCCCAGTCGGGGAGATTTGTTTTTGCGCCCTTTCCGCTCAGATACTCTTTGGTACAACCAACTGCCCAATACGTACGTACTTTTTAGAGCACTGCAGCGATGAGCCACCTCCACCCGCGTGGCTCGGCTGTTCTTATACCATGTCGTTTCTCTCAGGCCCACTTTCCCGATGCAATGGAACAGATCAGCCCAGATGAAATGTTGATCAGTCTAGAGATGCCACAGTCGTAAAAGTCAGACCCCAGCTGAGGTGGGCCCCGCATCAGCTTTCGTATTACATGTACGATTCATCGGTCATCCAACGCGAGGACCACTTCCACTACAATCTGCATCCGTGGCCCGGAGTCCGGACAGCGCCACCTGGCTGGGGTTGGGGCGCTAAGGCGGCCATAGCCATGAGTTTCCCCTCAATCGAGCTAGTGGTTGAAACTAGAGCCAAGTAGGTAAGGTAACCGCCGACTGGGTGGATTGATAAGATGCAGCCAGGATGGCTAGTGGTCGAGATCATTGGTGGACGCTCGGTCATCCCCTGGTGCGGCCTTCAACTGGTGACCGCGGAACCAGGGATACTTAGTTAGTAGTAGTATGTCGAAGTTGAATCCGTCACTCTTCCACGAGGCACTCGCACTTGAGATTCACTTGTGCCTCCAAGCCCCACCTACCGGTAGGCTTCCATTTGTGGATGTTGCGGGCCAGTCAAGCTCGAAGCTGCCTGTATGGATAAGTATGGTGTCTTCGGAACCGCATGGAATTTCGAGAAGCGACAGAGACATGCTCACTCGGTCAGCACTCATCGGAGATAGTCATACGTAGTTATGCCATCGGCTCAAGGGTTGCTTGAGCGGCCGATCGGAGTCGGAGTATTGTACATCACCAAGCGATCATCGACTCCGCCGATCCTGCATCCAAGACGTTGCCGTAGCCAGAGACAAAGATACTCTCCGACTCAGCGAGGAGTCCATTAGACTCTTGCTAACGTGTCGCACCATACTGCTACAGCTTCACCCCAGAGAAAAACTCTTGACGAATGTCCATGGTAGCCGCTCTATTCTTACGCGCCTTTGCGCTGTGATTGGACGCCGCTCAACGAGAGATCGGAGCATCCGCCTGCAAGCTAATGCCGAGATAATCATTGCATGGTGCGCGGCCAGAATGATAGGCCAAGCCTCGCTTCTGGGGCAGATGACTCGGTCTAGGGCCCAGTCACTCCTTCGAGAACAATCAGCTTCGTGAGGGGCACCCGTTGAAGGGATCATGGACACAGGCAGCTTGAAGTGGTACAGGCAAGGTAATCTGACAGGCCAGTACGAGGTGAGATTGGTAGAGCACGACCACATACGATCCAAGCGGAGAAGGCATACCCCTCAACACACGTCGATTGTTCTTTTAGCTTTTATCGCAAGGTTAGATCGAGGTGATAGATCTACAGATGAAAGGGTCACGCCTTGGAGTTTGTGATGACTTAACCGCCAGGACAGGTCGAGAGGTGGACCTGGCATGAGCATGGACATGGGACGAAGTAGTCGAGATCTAGGACAACTGTAATCATTACCACGGAACCGTTCGGGACCAACCCACGGGACCGTTCCACGCGAAACCGGATCGGATCGGTGATGTTGAATGACGGTGGTAACCATGGATGCTTCGTCAGGTACCATGCTAATTGGTTTCCCCGGCGAGCCTGGATGTCGCTGCATGTATCCGCTGGATTGGAATAAATTGGGCGATACTCGGTCACTATGCGAAGATAAGCTGTTCAATAAGCTATAGTTTATGGATTAAGGAGAATTATCAAAAGGGAGAAGAAAGAGAAGGGTTGGTGAAGGGGGAGGGGGAGGGGGGAGCAATAGGCCGAGCTAATTCAAGGCTGCAGGACCCGGCGTATCATCTCGGTGAGGCAACAGGAGTACGATGCAGCGGGGAAAAAAAGCTCACGCAGATGACCGTGTCGATGATTGGACTATAAAAACCTCTCGGTGAAGGCAAAGGTGACGAGAATGCTAGTCGACCTATCGAGGTAGTTGGAGAGCAGCCAAGATGGTGTGGGTGAAGTTATGAACAACGGAGATGCAAAGGGTGTGTGTGGCAGTCACAGCGGGCGCCAACGAGTTGTGGTGGTGATGCGGGGTTCTCCTGCGGCGGCGGTTCAAGGTTGATTGTTGATGGCCACTGGTCAACCCGAACAGGGTTTAGGGCGGGTGGTGAGTGGTGAGATTCATGGGGGTCGCGATATCGACGATGATTAGTTGGCCTGGAACCATCTATCTGATCAATCAGCATGCAAGAGGGCAGTGCCAACTGACGACTGGAGACTGGAAATTTGTAGAGAATTAAATCCGAGGCCGATCGGAAAGACGAACCCACTCTCTCAAGTCCCAAGTCCCGACTGCCCCGCATACCCTGACCGGTGGACGGTCGCCCTGGTGAACTGGGATGGATGGATGGATGGATGGTGGTGGTGGTGGTGGTGCGTGCTCATCTGACATTTGACAGGAGATCAGAGGGGGAGGAGATGGTACAGACAAAAATAACGAGTTCCTGAAGTAGATGTGACAGATGTGACTGCGTGTGGTTCTAATCAGTTTCGCATGAGTAAAGTAGGCAAAGGTATTCAGGGCGGGCACCTCAATCTTGCTTGAGTTCCATCTAACCGAGGAGACCGAGGAGAAGTCAAGAGGGAAAATCCCCACTAGAACCAAAGAAGAAAGACGGTTTGTCTGCCAGTGAGTGGTGCAAGTGCAAGTGCCAGTGCCAGTGCCATGCCGTGTGGTATGGTAAGTACTACTAGGTATACAGTACCACGTACCTACACCCAAATACAGTCTCCGTACGGAGTACTGACCGACTCCATCCCCGACCGGGAACGGACCAGGCAGTCGAAGTATACCCAGAACAACCGAGCTTAGTTCTGTACCACACATATCATTTCCGGTTTCCAGTTCGATTTGACAGATTCCATGTGTTAACCTGGGGAATATTAATCTCATCTGGCACCTCGTCTGCAGGATAGAAGGAACTGGCGAGAGAAGACTCGGAGATCTCAACTCGATGCTTCCATTGCCTTAGGCAAGAATTGCCAATTGACCGCTTCATTGGATGAACCTCTCCCTGTTGGTCACTATCCCATCAGAAGAATACATCTCAGGGAACTGGAAAATTAGGGACGGACAAAGGTCCCCATCGTTGGTTTCATCCACTTCACCGCTGCTTCTGAGTTGGTCCCATTCCTTCTTTTTCTCAAGAAGAGGGCGACAAACGCCTGAAGGAGACTGAGTCACTACCAGCACGAAGGAGAAGTGAAGTGAAGTGAAGTGAAGAGGCAGGGCTTCTTCTCTTTAGATTATTTATCATCATTTGACTGCACTTGTTGATTACTCAGTGGAATGTGTTTCCTATTCCTCTCTCTTCCTCTCTCAATTTCTTCCTATCACTACCATCAGCATTAGCAGCGGCCGCGGCAGCAGCAACAGCAGCAGCAGCACTATCAGTCATCCCTCCCTTTCCTTCTTTGCCCCCAACAGTATCCTACTCCACCCTTTGAATCGCCCGTGGCATCATCGAGCGTCTTGTGCTAAGCTGAGCCAGCTCATATTGCTGTCATTCTAGCTCTTCTTGCCATCATTCATCATCAGTATTATTCATCATCGTCCACAGAGCAAGAGAGAGAGAGTTGAAGGTGTGTGTGTGCCTATTCAGCAGTACCCGGCATTGTTACTAAACTTCCTAACGTGGTGCCACTTCACACGCCTATCCTTCTTTTGGATGTTGGGGGAGAAGAGGATTAATACCTTTTCGACATTTTCACATTTCTACTTTTAGTTTTTGGGAGAGAATCAGCGTGGCGCAGTTTGCTTGGATCTGACCTTAGAAGATTTTTATTTATTCATTTTGCTTTTTCATTGTTATTTTTTCGCTTTTATTTTTTTTGCCCCTCTAGTGTTGGTCGCCTCTCCCGTACTACGACTGAGGGAGGGACTGGCTGACCTGAACTTTACCATACTCTGACTATACATTTAGTTACTTTCACTTTCGCTTTCCCCTGAGCAGAATTACCC